CGTTCTCTGCACCTTTAGCATTGGATAAAGATGTAGATAACTGATCTTCTACATTTATAATCAAGAACTGTTTGTGTTTCAGGCGCTTGTTTCTACTGTAAGGATTTAAAATGGTTGACACAAAATTATATTAAATGCAAAATAGAGCAAATACAATCACAGTTACAAGGTAGCTTAATTATTAGTATTATATATGCCTGTTATTCTGCAGAAGTTTCATTGCTGTAGGAGAAAGCAGAGCGTTTTTCTAAGAAATAAAAGGTCCCAGCTAGTAGCCTAGCTATATGTTTGTGTGTGTTTAACATTGTTGTATCCATGAGTATAGCTTATAATTCTTGATATATGTATATTGTAGTTATTGCAGTGGTTTTTAACTTTCTTTATACCTAAGTTTGGCAGATACATGTATTTTGAGCTTTCATGACGTGATAGAAAAGTCTTCGCTGATGCTGTATTATGCATAAAAGAGGTTGAGAGAGCCAGGGAGGAAGAGGTTGGTCAGTGACAATCTTGGATAGAACATAATCATGTACAGTCTGAAGAAAAATGGAGGTGAACTTGGAGCATGCAGAGTCTAGGTTTTGAGGGAGAGTAGAGGACCAGTCTATGACACTAAGGGATTTATTTAATAGCATTGAAGTATGCCTTGTAGTAAAACCAGACCTTTCTGCAAGATTGACAGTGGAGAGAAGGGGGTTTAGGGAGAAAGGAGAAGGAAGAGAGAATATAGTAGAATGATCAGAAGAGCCAAGAGAGGGAGAAACAATTGAGAAACCTTGAACATAGTGAGGGACAAAAACAAGATCTATAATTGAGGGGGACCCAGAAGGAGAAAAGTGAGTAGGCTGTGAGACAATTCGACTGAGGGAGAAAATAGATGTTAGGGAACTAACACTTGGTGAAAGAGTGGAGCCTGAGAGTTACCAACATTGACATTAAAGTCGCCTACTAAAATAGTCTTTGATGTGAAAACCAGGTCCAAGAAAAGAGAAAGTGTTAATCAGATCACTAATAGCAGTAGCTGAGGTGGGAGGTCTATAAAAAGAAGACACATGAAAGCATTGAGAGTGGGCACAAATAGTAACAGTTAACAGTTCTAGGGAGTGAGGGGGAAGCTGGAAGACTGAGGGCTGGAGGCAGGACTTAACATAAATAGCAAAACCACTGCCGTGACGAGAGCGGTCAAGGCGGAAGAGAGAATATCCGGGAATATATACAATGTAGTTCAGAGGACAAAACTTCAGGGCAGAGCCAAGTTTCAGAAGCACAGATAAGATCAGGAGAGCAGCAGAAATAAGTCGATGGAATTTCGCAACTATACTATGAGCATTGAGGGAGATAATGGTCAGCGAGGAAGGAGATAACGTCAAGGACCAACGGACCGGGATGGGACAACTAGCTGCCTGTGATGATTGGTTGGTTGTAGGAGAGGGGGAGGATGAGGGAGAAGATGAGGAGGAAGAAAGTGGGGAGGGAGAGAGTAGGGAGGAAGAGGATGAAGAATTTGAAGAGGAGGATAAGGGAGAGGGTGAGAGGGAAGTAAAGGGGGAGGAAGAGTGGGAGGGTGTATAAAGAGGGCTGACGCTGGGTGGTGGATCTGGAAGGAGTATTTTCCTGGGAGGCCAGTGGGGAGTCGGAAGGAGGGCTGATTTCCTGGGTGGGTGAAGGGGAGCAAGGATCAAAGAGAGAGAGAGAGGGAGGAGGAAGTGCTGCTGGTTGGGAAGGAGGGGGAGGAAGGGATGAGGGAAGTGAGGGGGAAGAAGGATTGAGGGGTTGGGAGAAGGGGGAGGATGCTGGGAGGCTGAAGTGATGCCAGTTGAGGAAGAGGTAGCCAGAGAGTTCAACTTAGTAGAAATATCTGTAAAAGACAGGCAAATGGAGGCAAGCTCATCTTTGACAAACACGAACTGCTGTGAAAAAAGTTCAACTGACTTGGTGAGAGAACAAACAATATTGTTAACTTGGGACAGGTTGGATTGAAGAGAGACAACTTTGTGGTGGAGGCCTCGAGCACAGGAAGGACAAACAAATGGGAATGTAGAAGCTACAGGCCAATGAACTTTGAGTTAAACCAGTTACCACACTCTTCACAGGCCAGCATGAGACCTGACTCAGAGTTGTTCTGGTAGACACATCAAATGGGGTCTTGAGACTTAGTAGGACTGCTTGGTGAATCGCTGAGGGACTTAAAGGAAGAGGCATCCAGAGATTGTGGCTTGGGAGACACGTGGTCAGGAGAAGAAGGTTGAGTATCATTTGATGAGGTCGTTTTGGATGACTGAGACTGCTTCAGAGGAACTTTATTAGATAAAGAACGCTTACCAGCAAGTGGAGTTAAGGAAGGAGGGGAAGAAGACACTTTAGATTTAGAAGAAGTGGAGCCTAGTTTACCATGCACCATCACCATTTTTTTTAATGATTGAACACAGGCACCATAATTAGTTCCTTGTTTCTATTTCTTGGAACTACAACAACTGGTGTCACTTGAAGAAAGAAGATGTGTAGCATGTGTTACCTTCAACCGCAAGATAATGCTTTTCTTTCCTTCATGGAGTTGATACATCTTGAATAGATCTTGATTAGTAGCAACTGGAACTTGACACTCTTTAGTACATGTATCATGATCAGATTGAATAAATTTCAAGCAATATTTTTTTAGATATACAGCTTAAACTTACAAAACAATTTCTCTTTCAACACTTCTATGTCATCAAATACCTTCCTCCCCCACTTATTTATTACACTCAGCTGAGCCTGTGTGTGAGGACTAATAATTTTCACTGAATAGGACATGTTATCTGTCTGAACTGACACAGCTGGTGTGATGGTACAGTCAACATATGATAATGAGCTTCTGAGCCAGAAAGGTTAGAAATGTTCACCTAATTCCATGCTAGATTAAGCACAAGTGTTGGTACCAATAGAAAGTACATGTAGCATGCTAGTGTCAACACTTGTAAGTTTAAAATGATACTTGCTGACTTAAAAGCCCAAAAATTCTATAATTTTCACTAAGACATAAACAACAAGCATGCACAAACTACAGACCTAGCCTACTCAGGTTGATTATGCATGCACCTATGGAATATGAAATTTTCAAGGTGCATTAATTTCCAATATTTTTGCCAGTACCATCCAACCACAAATAATTAATACTTTAACCTTTTATGAACAGAATGCCCACACATTCACACATTATAAATGAAACGTCCACACAATAACAATGGCACTGTACAAGTTCTTCAACAATGTGGACAAAAATGAGGAAGATAGTGAAAGAAGACAAACCAGAGGAGAAATCACAAGCAGCTGTTATAGCTAAAGACCCAGAGAAACAAAATAGAAAACAATGAAAGTCCACGTGCAATAATTCTTATATCACATGACCTCAGCGATGATGCCTTTTATGATTATCCACAAAATTTTGTCGACACAAATTTTACATGTACAAAATAAAGCAGCTAGAACAAAATCACTAAAATTTATTACTTTGAAAATTTCTATACTTACAGTATTTAGAATTAAAATAGAAAGACAGAAACAACAGTACAATGGGCAAAATATGTGTATCTAGAATGTACTTTGTATAGTAGAAAAATATACATGTAATTCATGGGTGTTTATTTGGGAGGGTGTTCATTCAAGCAAATACAGTACATGTAGACGTATCTACAATGTACATGTATGTAATAACAATAATATTTTTACAAAATGTTATGAATTGTCACGTACATGTACTTATACTCACATCATCTATATAGTTTGGATCAGCTCCTTTGGATAATAATAGTTCAACTACATTAATATGTCCTTCTCTTGCTGCTTCAATCAGTGCTGTAGTATGCTATAATAAAAAATTATAAATAATAATTTAGCGCCAACCACCTACAAAATCATTTAAGTGCCACTTCCTTAAAACTGTCAACCACAAAAATTAAAACCATGCACAAATTAACTAGGAGCAAATCCCAACCAATGAAAATAACCAACTACATGTACTGTATGGTAATTAAAATGTATTATAGTGAGTTATCATAATAAGGGACATTAACATGACATGAAGGACAGTAATTGAATTAACCATGGTAATAAATTCCTTATCATGCTTGCTGTAATTCTAATGTACAAGTAAATGATATTATGTACTAACATATTCCCATTCTTGGCCTATGTTTGGATCAGCTCCATTATCCAGCAGTACTTTTACAGTCTCATGGTCTCCTCTTCTTGCTGATACAATAAGAGGAATATCCAATTTCTGTAATAACAACAAAATAATACTATAATACTTCGAATAGCATGCTGCATCATAACTACACTACATGCCAATACAACTGTAGCTGGTAATTTTGGAAGGACATAAATTTAGCAAATTTAAAATTTTTATATCAGCTATTTGCCAAAATCAAAATGCACTATTTTGTATCAAAAATTCACATAATTTAAACTTTTCAATTACAAAAATTAGCAATTTATCACATATAGCTCCTACCAGCTACATGTACATGTATACAGTACAAGTTAAGCCCTTCATACACTAGACACTAGCAACAATTGTAATTACATGTACTTTGATCTTGTAATCTAAAAATAGAAATCTACAAGTTGATTACAAGATCAAAGTAGCCACAAATAGAGCCAAGTGTTGCTTATTGGATATTAGGCTTCAATTCTATTTCAAGCCCCATGTACAATGCTGTTATTAACTGACAGTGAATCTTACATCATGTTTGAATAAATGTATGTATGTATGTATTTTTGTACATACAGTAATCATACTTACATAATCCATTCTGTTTGGATCAGCTCCTTTGGTTAATAAAAGTTCCACTACATGATGATGTTTGCTGCTTACTGCTGCCATCAGTGGTGTAGTACCACATTCCTATTATAATTTAAATGATAAAAATGAATAATTTGCTATTAATAACAATGGGTATAGTTTAACATGTTAACAAAATGTTAATGGATATGAACTGAACATTATAAAACACAAACATAGCACACACAAGCCTACTTGTAAGTGGCTACAACTACAAGCACAAGTGTAAAAATGAAAATTTTAAATTAATCAAGTAAGGACTGCTAAACTGAGTCACAAAAGCTGTATTGTTCATTGGTGGGTGTCATTTGCAAAATAATACAATATTTGTCATTTAAATTTTATCCATCCTTTTATCCATACATGTATTAATGAACATGCAGTACACATTGTCAGTATACATGTAAATTATACTACTGTATAGCGAAAAATTTTCGTGGCCCAAAATTCTTGTGGATTTTGTGTTTTTTCAAAATCCTTGAATATAAAATCTGCAAAAATTGATTCAATATGGTTCAAGATGGCCAAAAAGTAGAAAACACAAAAAATAAAGCCACAAAATTGATTTTTGAACGGATCCGCAAAATTTTTGGGCTACAATAATTTTCTGCTATAAGGTATGAGATTTATGTACACAGTGTACAGTACCGCTCAGCTATAACTTTACTTTTACACTCACGATCTCCAGCACGAGGCGCAGGTGGCTCTAGTGAAGAATCACTATGCACGAACTGATAAGATACATGATGTACATGATAAATACACGATACAGGTGCTACGTGTGTACCTTGCACTAGTGTGCATTGAGTGTATAGAGAAGCTGCACTAGTGTCGTGTACACTATAAGTAAAGTTATAGCTGAGCGGTACTGTATATACTCACATAGTCTGGGTCCATTTCTATGTTTGGATCAGCTCCATTATCCAGCAGTACTTTTACAGTCTCATAGTCTCCTCCTCTTGCTGATACAATAAGAGCAGCATCTCCTTCCTGTAATAACAAAATAATACTATAATACATGTAATACATTGAATTAATTTTGGATTTTCTCTTTTCCCAATTCTTACACTGCACTGCAACATGAATGTTAAAACTATTATACACAATGTACATTGTACATGTTGTTAGATTATTATACTAAGACTAGCGAACAACGGAACAACTGATTAAACTCAACATAAAACCAATAAAAAGCATGATACACCGTACATAAAACCTCAGAGTCTAGAAAGTTCTTAGTTACACAATCTTACAATATGCATGCATCAGCAATAATTAATGTGGTTACAGTAATAACACCAAGTATAAACCATACACAAGTACA